TATTAAACCAAGGAAAACACCAACATTTGCATTCCAAGATGCACATAAAGGACAAGTCTTGAACTATGGTATCAAAATATTACAGCATCAAAGGGAACGATATGAAGTGACAAATTTTCTGACAGACTTTTATGAGATTTTATTTATTCGTGTTGTCAAAGAAGAGCAGAAAAATGGATTGCAATTCACAGTCCATTTTTCTAGTCTTTTCCAATTTGATGGTGAAGGAAGTAAATATCTACGAGCTTTATTATTTGAGATGCCATACCATCCTGAAATTGGTGAGTTGTATTGATTTTGCCTCAGTATTTTATATAATATGTTTTCTGATGTTTTATTTCATTTAATATAGGGTTGAATGTTCGCACAAGTTCATTAATAGCACAGACAAAAACTTCTAAGATTTTTGCAGTGAAAAAAAGAAATGATTTGGTTCTTAAAATTGTACATCAAAAGATTTTACTGGAAAGGGAAAAAAAAGCACTTGAAAAATTAAAAGGAATTATTGGGATTATTCAACTTTTGGGGCAGTCAAAATGTGCATTATTGTTATCTCCAAGGGCAGAATGTTCATTCAACAATTCAGGGCTACCAGTATGTAAATTAGCAGCAGTTGTTGATTGCTTGGAACAATGTCATCAACAGGGAGTTGTGCACCGTGATGTGTGAACTTCTAATATTTTAGTTAATAGCAGTAATGATATTATTTTAGCAGATTTTGGCTCAAGTGCTTTTATAGGAGAGGTAAGCATTTCAAAGTTAGCTTTTAAATAGATGGAGTTCATTGATACATTAAAAAAAGATTTTTTCTTTCCAGATAGATTTTTATGGAGGTGCACCATTGTTTTTAGTTTCTGAACGTGTGCTAAACAGTTATGGAAAAATCATAGATGCTCATCCAAAGGATGACCTTCATGCATTAATTCGGTCTCTTTATTTACTTGTAAATCAGTCAAATTTAAATGAAACTTTTTTAAACATTGATGACACAAATTCAGTTCGTGAATATTGGGAAATATATTTAAAAGTGAGCCATGGAAGACCGTGCATAGACATTGCAATGAATTAGCATATTATGAACTTAAATGTATCGGTTAAATTAAAAAAAAATTTCATATTATTTGTAAAAAATGCTTGGAAGAGGATGATTTGTTATCTATGTTACATGTCATCCTTGGAACATTATTGGAGTGTTCCAGTTACAATGGAAGTTTATCCACAATGACTAATACATATATTGGTCTTTTGGTGTCTGTATGGAAAACCCTACAAAGTGAACATTAATTTTATAAAATTATATATATTTTTGGAAATATATGCTATATATACTTTTATGAGCATTATGTGTTAATAAAGTTTTCTCTTGTTTTAGATTATATTTTTATTGAATTCAATAGTAAGTTACAAACAAATATACTGTGGACAATTAATTTAGACGACTGATAATAATAATAATAATAATTGTTTTTTTTAGCTTGCATGGCTAATGTTATCAGATTGGGCAATTAAACAATTAGAAAAAATAACACATCTGCATTTAAATTGTCCTGAGGAAACTTGTTATGGTGTTCTTGCTGTAATTATTATTATATTATTATATTATTATATTATTATATTATTATTTATTATATTTTAAATATCTATACATATAATCGATTTTTTTAATTGATTAGGTACATCGTATATGTTTTGCGCTTTCACTTTTCCATTTAATTCTAGGGTTATTGGTATTTAAAGTTAATAGCACTCGTGATAAAAGATCTTCTATTCAGAATGGGTATAAATTTTTTTATTAAAAGAAGATATTTGAAAATATTGAATAATAATAATAACAATAATAATAATAATAATAACAATTTTTATATTTAGATGGTGGGGACCAAAAATATTGTTTTGGATACTTCTTCTAGTCATTAGTTTTTTTATTCCAAATGAATTTTTTATGTTTTGGGGTAATTCAATCTCATTGATTGGGGCTGCAATTTTTATTCTCATTGGTTTGGTAATTTTGATAGATTGTGTACATACCTGGAGTGAAAAATGCATTGAAAAATGGCAAGATGAGGAGAGCGAGTTTTGGAAATATTTATTAATTGGTTCAACTCTTTCATTGTTTATTGGTTCAATTGCACTCACTGGTATTATGTACAAGTTTTTTGGAGGATCAGGATGTCACACCAACCAATTCTTTATAACTTTTAATCTGATTTTGTGTCTTATTAGTACAATTTTATCTATTCATCCTGTAATCCAAGAAGAAAATTCTCGATCAGGTCTTTCACAAGCATCAATGGTGGCTTTTTATTGTACATACCTTATTTTAAGTGCAGTAGCCAATGAACCTCATCACGATGATGATGATGATGATGGCAATGGTAATAATATTGATAGTAGTGGTGATAATGCACCAGTTTGTAATCCTTTATTAGATACTGCAAATGGAACCAGAGTCACCACTGTGGTTATTGGAGCTTTGTTCACTTTTATGGCAATTGCTTACTCTACATCGAGGGCAGCTACACAAGGTAAGGCATTAACTACTAAATCTGATTGTTAATACTGTAATTTCTGTACCACTGGTTACTAACCAGCCAAAAGATATTACTTCCGGAACACGATCTGGTTCACTATTGGCTGCTGTTGAAAATGGGTATGCTATTTTTTTTTTTAATCAAAATCATTGATTGATTGATTCATTGATTTATTATTATTATTATTATTATTATTATTATTTGTTTATTTATAAATATTTTATATTTATATTTGTAAAAAGTTCATTACCGGCTTCAGCATTAGATGATGATGATGATAATGACAATGGAAATGATGATGAAAAGGATGGTGTTGCCTACAACTATACCTTTTTCCATTTCATTTTTGCCATAGCTGCAATGTATGTTGCAATGCTTTTAACAAATTGGTATGTAATGATTTACTATTTTATGATTATTTAGTTGTAAATAATAATAATTTATCGATTTTTAAAAAATTTTCCTAACATACATATTAAATAATAAAGGAATACTATTCAAATTACCGGATCAGACGAATTGGTTATAATTGGTAGAAGCCTTACATCTGTTTGGGTCAAAGTTGTTTGTAGTTGGATTTGTTTGTTGTTATATTTTTGGTCACTTCTTGCGCCAGTTTTATTACCCGAAAGATTTGAGGTATGATTATCATTTTATATTATTTCATATATAACTTAACATAAAATCATTTATTTAAATTTTTGAAAATTTTTTTTTGATTAGGGAATGTATTAAATAAATATATGTATCATTATATATTTTATATATTTGCTGTAATTTAATTTATAACAATAAATTTTTTTAAATAAAAGATTTATCCTATAAAAACATTTAATTCCAATGCTCTCCGGTTTTTATCATTAAAACTTCAACCATCCATTTCAATGCACCTTTGATTGATAAATAAATTATTTTGAAAGCGATTCCTTTAATTGTAAAACACTTTTGTCGTAAGCAAGGGCAAGATTGTTTTTTCTTCTGATTTTATAAACAGAAACCATAGTTTAATAAAATCTTTTTTTGTTAGATTGTAAAGGCCACTTTCCTTTAACTATTTATTTATGCATTATTTATTTGTTTTATTATTATACATCAAGAATTCAATTCCCCCTTTTCATTGATTGTTCTCACAAAATACAAGGTATAACTCTCCATCCACTTCAATTGCTTTAAGCTCGCAGATATTTTCTCCTGGCAAGCACATGTCGCTCTTGATAGGTGTGCCTCTTGGGCAAACGTTTTCATCGGATAAGAATGCATCAAAGATTAAAAGAAAAGACTTCCATTCTTTTCTTCTCCGATAATTAAAATTAATACACATTTATAAAAAAAAGTTTACAAGTGACGAAATCACTTGTCATAAAGCGATAAAAAAAAAATTTTTTTATTTCGAAAATTTCTTTAGACATAAATATGCAAATACAATCCAGATCAATCATAGTGTGTAATGCTTGTTTAAATATCTATCTTGCACACTTAAAATTGATTTACTTTTTTTTTTAAAAAATAGATATTCCACATCAACCTTCACCTTGCTCAATTTCTACAACTTCTCATAATATTTTATAATTTCCATTTTATTAAATTAGTGGAACAAAAATAAAAATTATTTGACCAAGTGAAAGAAATCAATCAATCAACCAGTTAATTATAATAATCCAGAGCCTTGCTTGGGAGTAGAGGCAGAAAGTTAATATAAAATTATTTTTTTACAATTAATTCATTTGTAATAAACATTTTCATTATTTAAAACAAGTTGATTCTTTTTTGTTTAATAAAACACTTTTATGGTCGGAAATTAAACAGTAGGGTTTAACCTCCATTTGGTTATCAGAGTGGTTAAAGCAAAGATTTTTTTTTTAGATATTTGTTTTAGTAAGAAATCAAAGGTTTAATTTTTTGGTTTTTGTCAAGTGTAAATGTTTTTGTTTAATTTTTTGTTAATTGACTACCTTATTATAAAGTAATTGTAGAAGCAAAGCAAACAAAAGGAACTCTACAGGTGCTTTATTGCTTTGTTAATTGTACCATAAAGTGTTTACAGATTCACCAAAGCTTTAAGAAAGAGGTAGTAGGTAAAAATTTATATTTTTGTCCCAAAAATGGGTCTGGGACATTTAAAGTGACGGACACAGACACGGAAAGTCTCGGACCGGACAATCCGTGTCCATGTCCGCGTCCACTAACAACACTGGTCTAATCTGTTTTTAATTTTCCTCTGTTTATGAATAAGTTGGTTTTTTCAAACTATTTAGCACAGATTGAAACTTCAGCAATGATACTGAGTTAATGATTAACAGTTCTTATTCATAGTAATACATTTAAATTTATTGCTATATGATAAATCATGAATAATATAAATAATAAATAAATAATAAATAAATAAAATAAATAAATAAGTAACAATCTTTTGATTTTTTTATCATTATCTATTAAAAGTTGTATTTCATCAAATTATTTATATTCTAATCACTGTCATCATCATCAGTGTGTTCATATTCAAATGATGCAAGAGCTGATGAAATATTTAATGACTCAGATTGCTGAATTAATTTACTTAGTGGATGGCTTGTATTGAATGATTCTGGATGATGATTATAATTCTCTGCATCTGACAAGTATTTTTCTGTTTTTATAAGTTCTTTTCGTTTAACTTCTGCTAAATCAATAATCTTTATTTTTTCTATAGAAGGTTCAGAACAGTATTCCCTAATAACAGAACAAAGTTCTTCAGCTGCTGTTGGTCTATTTTCTGATTTTGGATCCCAACATCTTTTCATCAATTCAGCATAAAATTCAGGGGTATCAGCAGTGATTTGAGGTCTTTCTCCTT